AAATGTACTATGGAATATCTGAAGTAGTTTAGAATAAAATTCCCCTACGTTCAACTTTGAAGACTTTACATACTTGAGAACAAATTTATATTCATGAATGAGTTTGAAGCCACATTTCAAATAGCCACTCTAAGCTGTTGACACAAAGGGCTGGAACAATGAAATTGAGGTTAAAGTTAGGCTGTTAAGTGATGAAAAGCAGACCACATGTAGTACATGCAACAGGGCCATTTTTTTTTTTTTTTGGTCAAAAGTAAAAATATATGCATAGAAAAGAGCCTGACATTTTATACAACAAAATATAAACAGTGGCTAACTCTGGGTAGGTGGAAGTGAGTTTTTACTTTGCTTATCAGCAATATCTAGATTTTCTGCAATAATTATATGTTAGTTAATAATCATAAAAACAATGAAGTTAATACTTTTTAAAAAGCTAAGCAGTGTAGCAAATTTTCAAGTTTTTGAACAGTGAGTAATAAACTAACCACTTCAAAATGGATGCAGTTAAAAATAAAGTACATTCCAGATAATCATTTCTGTTAAGATGACCAGGTTAAGGCTATAAATAGGTTTTAAGTGGATTTTTTTCTACTATGGTCTTTTCATTTAAAATGTCAGAAATTACACAGAGACAAGTTTAAGCATCTGCATTTTAAGCTAATAATATCACAGAAAACAGCAATATATGTGCCTAATTTTTAAATAGCTTATTTTTTTAAGTCAAAAGAAAAGATGCACAGTTTTTAGGAAAAGGAAAGAGATATGCATATTGGGTATTTTCTTCTAGCCTTTTATTTTATGGGTCATATATTAAATGGAAAGAATTAATTTTGCCCTGCTCTTTAAACTCATGCCCATTATCTAGCAATTAGAATCTAAAGCAGTGCTTTAAAATTGTAAATGTGCATATTAGCCAACTGAAGGAGTTTGATTCTATAGGTCTGAGGTGGGACCTTTGTTTTGTATAGAAATCATCTGGAAGCTTATTAGGAATGCAGAATCGTGGATCCCATCTCATAACTAATCAATCAAAACCTACATTTTACTAAGATACCCATTTGACTTGTATGTACATTAAAATTTGAGAGCTGTTACCTAAAGAACTCAAAATAGTCTAGCTGGCTCTTGGTTTCTGTAGTTTCCTATGAGAATTACTTAAATAATAATATTTTAAATATATTACAGAAACCAGTGCTGCCACTAAACTCTGTTAACAGCTGATACAACATAACTTTAGAAAACTATGTTTAAACAGTTAAAACATTTTCCTTAAAATGAAAATTAAATTTCCTTGATTCTCAGGCGACTTTAAAATTAGTTCTTCTTGGCTTTATTTGTCACTTAAACTAAGTGGTTATGTAGCAAATTTAAAAACAATTCTCTTCCACCCCTTCACCCCAGCTTTGTCTCTCATTTGAGAAGGAATATTTCAGAATCTGTTTTTAAAACATCCTACTGGCAAAATGGAGGAACTTACACCTTACAAATCCTATAATGATAGGATTGTAAATAGATTAAAAGTTACAGCATATCTATGTTTTTCATTCACAGAAATAAATGAGTCAGTTTCTGGAACTCTAAAACAAAACATTAAAAGGAAAGAAAATTGAATTCAGGGTAATTTTATGAACTTAGTATTAAAAGAGAAAACAGAGTGATCACCCACAAGCTAGTCAATTTTATAAGTCAAATTTCCTTTATTCTTAGAGGACAAAATTTGGGGTTCTAGAAAATCATCATTTCACTTGAGAAAGAGTCATACCAGTGGCTATCACATTAAGACTTTCTAACAAAAAAACTCTGACATTTCTGACTATTCTTTCTGAACTTTTAAAATGGTAAACTGCTTTAGATTTCTACTTACTAGGGGTTCAAAAAGAAGCAATTGCGTGGCTAGGTTAAAATTGAATTTCAGTCTTATGAATACCTTCATAAATTTTATTGGATCGCATTTAAATCTACTAAAGCCATTCTGTTACTATCATTTCTATACCTTAACCTTGATGTGATGATATTCTCACTCCTACCAGGACTTGCAAGAAAATATACTGAGAATTTGTTAACATAAACTCTAATTTAAAAAGGCATAATGTACAAATAAAGGAGAGCTCACTAAATATATTCAAAATCAAATCTGCCTTTTTAAAAAAATCCCAAGAACACATACTATCAAATGCAGTACCATTAGACACAAACTGATAAATTGAGCCTAAATGTTTGAAAAAGTACAACCATAAAACAATCAAAAGAAGTAGTATTTTTATAGAGTAACTACAGTGTCTACCACACAGTTTAATGCATCACAGTATAAGACACATATGTTAACATTGCTTTGAGAGAAGAAAATGCACTGGGAAGAAAAAGATAAAAATGAAAATACTTTCTAAGTCATCATCTACTTCCAATATTATTTGCTGCTGAAGAATAGGGCAAGAATTAAAAGCTGTCTTTTGTATTAGGAAAAGTTCTCATAAGGTTTTCAGTCTTAAATGAGTTTTTGGTAACATTTTAAATTAAAGTATCAATATTTCAAACTTCGTGATTTAAAATGTTTCATAGAATTTTGTAAAACTTTTTTACCTTAAAATTTTGTATTTGTATGCAAGGCTAAACTTAAAGACCGCAGGTACTTTTATTAAGGGAATACTAAAAATGTCAGTCTGTGGTTTAAGGATTGTTTTCCATTGTTTTAAAGCTTATGTTAATATTTCATTAAATTTAATTCATCTCTGGAAATATGAAGTTTTACCTTTCCAGAATATTCTATTATCCAGCTTACCACTAATCATTATTTTTCATAGCGACCATTTCAGAGAAGTTTCCTGAACAACTTGATAATCATAGTTGTTTAAATATCTGTATTTAACAAGTCAGTATTTGTAATTGAAAGATATCTGAGTGGCTCACGCCTGTGATCCCAGCACTTTGGGAGGCCGAGGCAGGTGGATCACGAGGTTAAGAGATTGAGACCATCCTGGTCAACATGGTGAAACCCCGTCTCTACTACAAATACAAAAAAAAATTAGCTGGGCATGGTGGCGCGTGCCTGTAATCCCAGCTACTCAGGAGGCTGAGGCAGGAGAATTGCCTGAACCCAGGAGGCGGAGGTTGCAGTGAGCCGAGATCGCGCCATTGCACTCCAGCCTGGGTAGAGCGAAACTCCGTCTCAAAAAAAAAAAAAAAAGAAAAGAAAAGAAAGATATTTCAATTGATCAAAGTTTTGTACTTTACATAAATCATTTTAATTTTTGATTTAAAGAATATTGTGATTGTGGTTCATCATTCTCCCAGGACAATGTACTTATGTGCAAGCAGTGTCTGATTCTTTCACATTTCTAGTTATAGTTATTTGACTCTACTTTCCAAACTATAACCAAGATTTTTAAATTACGGCATTAAGTTGTGGTATGTTAGATAATAAGTCCCACTGTTTTGATGAAATAAATAAAAAAATTGACCTACTTAGTAATGTTAAATGAATAAAAGCAGGGCCCAGAAGACTATATACAGCATGATACCATCTTTAGAAGGCTCAAAACTAGCAAAACTAAACAATATAGTATGTTAGAAGTACATACATTTGTGATAAAAGAATACAACAAAAAATATGAGTAAGATTCAGGATATTTGTAATCCATAGGGGTAATCATAAGTATGATATAGTTGACTAGCACAGAAGGTAGTTACAAGTTATTGGGATGTCCAAACACACACACACACACACATGCTTCATCATGAATATTACTTAACAATTTCTAAGTACAAGAAAACTAAGAGGTTTAGATTATTCAGGAAAAAATTAGAGATGAAATTGCTGGAATTACCCTCTTAGCTAGGGAAACACATTTTTCTAAACATATGGAGAATGGTGTTTTTTGGCCTCTGCTTTTTACTGTATTATTTAATTTATAGCCAATATTTAGTGATATTATCCTTTGATTCATAATCTCTCAACAATATGCACAATTGTCTCTTCTTGTATTTCATACACCTTATTTTACTATTCAACTCACTTTTTAAACAATGATATCAGGAGATTATTAGTTTTACTTAATCAATGAGAATGAAGAAAATCTCAAATTATTGCTTGTATTTATAGTTGGTGTTATACGATCATACTTTTGATCAGTGAATACATTATTCCTAGCAGTGTGTTTCTAAAATCATGCTTTTGATTCTAGAGATAAGGTGCATGTAGATTCTGATTTCCATTAACTCATGTAGAAAAAAAGACTCCTTTTTCCTAGGAAATCAATAGTGTGGAAAGCAAGGGCAACTTAATTATCACATATGTGAGCTTGGGGAAAGAAAAATCTTATATCAATATCACATTGCCATTTCAATAAATAAGAAGGATCCCTCACCATTTTAGGAAGGCTGAAATCTAGGAAAAAATGAGAAATTCAAGTGCAAATTCTCTTAGCTTTATAAAATATTATAAAACCATTCTTCCATATTTAAGGAGATGGAACATTCCTAGGGACTTGCAAATGCTCGCCAGAATGCATTCTGGAATAATTTTTTTCGGTTGGATACTGGAGGGATTAGTTCTAGTAAGACTGATAGGCAAGCTGCCTAATATACTTTCAACAGGGCAACACTTCTCACTGCTAGTTGTATAAATATTTGCCTTTACTTAAAAATAAAACTTCCCTTGGAGACTTATGAGATACCTTTGGAATGGAGAAGGGAAAAATAAAATCTACAAATTTAATTAATTTGGATCATGAGTTCTGAGGAATCTAGTCTGAATTTATGCAGGTTGCATGAGGTTAAAAAAGAGTGCCCTACTCTTCTTAAAGAGGCTGTTTAACTCTTCCAATTATAACATGTATAGATTTTAAATGAAAATGTATATAACTGATTAAAATAATTTAAAAGTCCTTGAGTAGACAATTAGTTGAGGCAAGTGAAGTTAATGTTTGACTTGATTGAATGAAATGAGCAACTGAAAGCGTTTTTCATGACTGTCACGTTTAGTATCACTTTTAATTTAACAGGAAGAACAACCTTTACTGTACCTGACGAGGGGTTCTTTCGGATTTACTCCTGCACCACTCCCAGTCTGAAAGATCTGGTTTCTGACTCTCTTCATGAGACAGTCTTCTTTCTGGCCCTTCAAAAAAGGTAGTTTCTTCATAGTTAATATCACCTCCTGTTTTGTCAGGAAACACACCCTTTTTGTTGTCGGAATTCTGTTTAGCTTCTGTAATATCAGTATTTATGCATTTGTTGATGTCTCTTTGTGTGGAGCTGTCCAGAGAGGGCGTGGTGCTGATTTCTACTTTTATAGCATTGAAGATGTTACGGTCGTCTTTCTGAGGGTCTTTTGTATTTTCACACTCATAGTTCATCAGGTTGTGATAGAATATGGAATTTTCATCATCATCATAGTAATCTTCATGTGCTATTTTATAAATCCCATAACTTTTTTGGAATGATAGATTGAATTCAAAGCCTTTTCTCTTGACTGAGTAAAAATAAAAACAACAGTTATGTCTAGTAAGGTAGATAAAAACAACATTGGATATACATAGCAAATAAAAATAGAAAGTGCATCCAACCTGATTATTATAATTTTAAAACTATCTACACTTACTTCTTGTCAATTATGCAAAGAAATTATGCCTCATAAAATTATCCTATCACCCTATGCCTAATTTTTCTCATTTACAGAATGAGGGTCTTGAAATACATACAATCTTAAAAACTCTTTCAATCTCTAAAGAAGTCTTACATAACAAAAACTTAGCCATACATTAGAAAATTCTCAAATACATTGTTTTAGCTTTCCTTAGTCTACCAATTATTTTGTAGTTTCCTTATATTTTGGGATAAGATATATTATTTATACATTTTGTTTTGCTAGAAATTAATTATTAAGTAGCCTTAATATTATGTGAGTTACTCAGCTAAGAATACCACTAATAAATATAACTGCTTTAAATATTTTGGTATATAATTTTTTGGCATTTATATGTGTATAAATGCATATAATAAAAATTAGACCATGCCACAAAACAGCTTTTACATTCTAAAAAATAACAATGTAAAATGATTTAAGAAATGGTAAAAAAAGTTCGACGGATTATTAATTTTTGTAAACTGAAGCACTTTACAATGTCTATAAAGCTGATTATTACAAGAAGAGTTTAGCAGTAATGCATCAAACTTTTTATGTTTTAAATCAGATGAAATATGATGATATACTAAATATAGTACTATTAGTTGATGGAGTGATGAAAGTCTTAGAATAACAAGCAAGACAGAATGCAAAGTCTTAGAATAGCAAGCCGACAGAAAGTGATACCATTTTTATGTGTGAATGTTGCTAAATGCTAGATAATTGTTATATATTAAGAATAAAGTTGTGTCAAAGTGGTAGACAAGATATAATTTAATGTTTTTGCTTTTATCTCTCAAAACATGGTTTGTTTCAAACAAATTGTCTACTTTGATAGCTCTGTGTTTTATAGGGAGACATTTAGCTGTCTCTGGTAGAAAAATATATATAAAGAACTATAAACTTTCTATGGAAAAAATAAGTAAAATTTGATTCATTTTAGAATACACCTTTGTGTCATTCATATGCTGATTCTATTACTGAAATGTTTCTCAGAATCTAAGATTTATAAACCAATTCTGCTGACTGAAAAATAAAAATTATTAGTATCATTCATTGTTGTTTGAGTCAGAACACAAACAAGAAAAATTCTGATTCAAAGAAAATATAAAAGTAGCAACAGATGTTCATATTTTATATACTGTCTCACTTATATTTTTACTGAACTTTTCTAGTAACATAGTCAAGTAAAGTTAAGTTATGCTGTTTAACTTGTTTTAACAGTGTGTAAGGTGAAGGAACTAAAACGATGTTTAAATTATTGTTGGGTTTCTATCAAAAGAGATATAAAGTGATAAATTGTCAATTCAAGGTCATTAAGAAAACAAATGCTATTATAAAATCCCAATTTTGTGATATAACATAAAATTGATATCTATGACTATAATTTTATTAGTTGCATATTATAATATCAAATATATAAAGCAAAAATGAATAATGTTTTTGAAGGAGTGTGCAGAATGTGTTAATGGAGACTTCACCTCCGTATAACAAGGGACAAGAGGCAGTCTGAGGTAGGCTATGAAAATAAAGGAGGATTATCATAGAGACCATGAAGTGACAGAACATTCTGAAGCTGTTTTGTTCATCCATTATGTCATTTAAAACACCAATAACCTTACATAGTAAAAAACTTATTGATTCTATTTTACACTGGAGAAAAGGGCTGACAGAGGAAACCTACTGATGATTACTTACAGGTAAAATTATATGAATTTAAAGCTAACTGTTTTCAGAATTAGAGATATTTGCCTCTATGTGAAATTGCTGTATTGCTAATCAAGCCCATGAAGGAAATATGTTAATGGTAGCAGAATTACACAATGTGCTGTTTTTAAGTCAGAGGAAATGCATTAATTTATGAAGTATAATTAACGAGCATTTCTTGTTAATGACTTATCACTTATGGCAAATTCTGACCGAGATAACTAATGTACCTGAGACAATTTGAGAAAATAGGTTATAACAATATCAGAGTTGACAATGTTAAGATGAGAAGCTGGTTGTAAGGAGTGAATTCCTATAAAAATACATTAAAACAACATAGTTAATAATCAAAACTATGTTGAAGAAAATATGAGAATCAGAGTCAAAACTAATCATCTTTAAGTTCCTTGAGGGTAAACTAGGTCTTTTTTTTAAATGAAGCAAGGACAGAAAAAAAGTGTTGATTAGGTAACATTAATTATTAACAAAGGCATATAGAAAAGTTCTTCCTCCATCTAAAGCAGGATTCTCGGCTCTACCCACTTTGTTGTGAGGAGATTAGGGATTGTGTTGTCAATAACTCTAATTTTTCAGACAAACCAGATTCATAGATTTGATATAAAATATCCTGATCTTAAGGTTTCGCTCCGTAATTTAAATCAGTTAAAAGTAACTATAAAAATTGGTTAAAAAACAGAGCTTTGAACCAAATTTACCTCATGGGTCATGGGTTGGGAATTTCTGTTTCTTACTGAGCATGCAGCACAGTGCTAGACACATAGTTACTTTTTCCTAATAAATATTTATTTATTTATTGGATGAATGAATGAATGAATGAATAAAGCAATCGTAAGAATCATGCTTGGTGTTATATGAATGGTTAGCCTTGACTCAGTGATGCTAGCTGAATAAAATATGATTTCAAAGAAAAGATGTCTCTAAAAATACTGATTTATTTCTAAGAGGAAGGTCTTGACAGTGTTATGGTTCCTGACTCTTACTTTTATGTCACTAAAAAAATCACAGTTGAGATTTTTAAAAAACTTTTTTTTTGTATTTTGTGTGTGTGCCTGTGAAAGTCAGAGATATTTCATTGATTAATAACTTGCAAGAAACTTAAAAGCCATCAGAGTATTGTGCAGAATCTTTTGAAATCTATACTAAAAATCTGAAAAATAAATATAATATTTTTTTCTAACAAACAAAATTGTCATTCTTCCAAAATCCTCAATAAAGGGTGAATTAGCTCTAGTCTTCTGCTTTTAATCACATCTTGCCAATTTCAATTTTAGATGTAATTACATCAACTTATAAAAACAAAGAATTCTTCAGAGTAATGTCACTTACCATATACTATGATTTTGTGAAAAAAAGATCTCAAATCTGTTTTTTTTAAATATAATGTATTTGACATTTAACTTTTTAAAAACCATGTAAGGCAAGCAAAATGAGTCTGAAAGCCATATCCAACAAATATATCTACCGCTTGAGACCTCTATGTTAAAAATCATTTGGAAAAAAAATCACTTTTGAGACACTAATAGTACAGATTCTTGTTGGAAACAAAAGAGGATGATTATTTCTGCAAATTATTTTCTCCTACTTACATTCATTTTCTGGTTGCACGTCTCTTAGTTCCCATTTAGTGAAGTTGAGATGTATAATTATATTTACATCTTCAAAATTAACCTATGGTAAATGTAAGTAAAAAATATTTTCTTTCCCTCGCTTCTGAAGTTCACTGATAAAGGATGTAAGGAGAGGGAATCTTAGTTTGTTATGGACAAAAAGTTTAAACATAAAACTGGAACCATCAAAGAATTAAGATACTCTAGCTGATCAACCACCTGGCCCACCTAAGCATGTGCTACCTTTGGGGATTTAAAATTCTGTTGTGTTATACTAGCAGTAGGAAAATTGATGGTGTCTTCTCAGATGGTAGAAACATATCGTTGTTATTAACAGAATTTTATGATATCACAGCCTGGATCATAAGAGGGAAGGGAGCCATTTGAACTATAAGCATCTTAAACTAAAGTTTCCCACAATGTTGTATTTGTGAAGCCATGCTTCTTTTTTACAAGCCTTCATATTTCAAGTCCTTCTTGGAATTTTAAAATAAACACAAATAAAAGCAATGGTAATTTTAGAAAAAAATATTATTTTGGTCTTGAGGGATAGGGTTTTCATTTCAAACCTGTGATAAGTGTGTGACTGTTGATTCTGCTAGCCTGCTCTAAGATTCTTCTGTCTGTGCAGTACAGAAAGTAGAATATTTCATAGGTCATTGACAAGAATAAGTCTGTTGTTTGCTTTGCTTTCAGCTCTGAGATGGGTGGTTCCCACTTCTTAAAACTGACTGCCTTCAACCAATTCACTAAGACTTTTCATTTTCACTGGCACTAGACTCATCCCTCTCACAATTTTAGATGTTATAAGACAGGGCTGGTTTACTAGGTTAGTGGCAAAATGTTAAGATTTGTTAGAATGTTAGAATTTTGAGGTGTGTGAATTGTTTCCTTTATGTTATGTGTTCTATAAGTGGCCCATAAAGGTTTATTATTAATTTTCTCAGTCACTGTTTGCTCTGGATATTAATCTTTAGAGACACATCATTATTATAAGTTCTAAGGTTATTTTAAAGACAAATGCATCTGCCATCTACTACTTAATGACATTCCTAACAATAAAAAATTTCCAATCATATGAAAAATATGTAGACATTCTAAATTTTAAATGCCATCACTATGACATATGAAAAATGGACAGTTTGTGGCTAATTATATAATATAATTTTGTTGCTGAATTGATTGCAGAGTATACTTTGATATTCTCTAGATTTTACAACCCTAAAATAGCCTGAGATGGACGGTTTTTATTTAACCTTCTCTGTTAAAGAATAATATACTTGTGGCCAGGTGCGGTGGCTCACGCCTATAATCCCAGCACTTTGGGAGACCAAGGTGGGTGGATCACCTGAGGTCAGGAGTTTGAGGCCAGCCTGGCCAACAAGTGAAACCCTGTCTGTAAATGATAATAATAATAATGATATACTTGGATACTCTGAACAAAGGACAATTAATAGGACAGTTAATGCAGCATACACTAATGGATTCTCAGATTATTAAGTAATAGCACATCCTATATTCTGTCTGGAATAATAAAATGATATTCTTTTTCTTCCTGGTAGAGTCATAATATACAGCTCATTCTTCAACTTTTCCTGTCTTAGAATATGGAAACAATTATACTGTAGAGAAGTTTGGAATTGACCATGCCTTCCACTCTCGTTCTAGGTGTACTCTTCAAAACACAGAATCTCTTTTAAGTAAATAACTTGGTTAGATTCATACATGAACACAACAGTAACAAGCTGTCACTTCTGTCTTTTTTTGAAACTGAGGGTTTTGTGTGTTTGGTCCTTGTGTGTGTGTGTGTGTGTGTGTGTGTGTGTGTGTATGTGTAGCCTTCACTTATGATTTGTTTTGGAACTGTTTTCAAGCACTCTGATTCCTTACTCTGAAAACTTTCCAAAACCCTGGAAGAATACAAGCAGTAAAACAACAAAAATGCCTTTCTTTACTGTTCCATTACATAATAATGGGTTATAACATGATGAGTTTTCAGCTCCTTTCAGAGGGTTAGTAATCCTTTTTCAAATGCAAGCTTCTTACAGCAATGCTACATCTCATTCTAGCCTTGGGAGGGGAATTTATTTTCTATTCTGGGCTAACAACTATGTCACCATCCATATATCATCTAAGTGACTTCGTTGACATGGTGTGCTGAATGAATTCGTCTTTAACTTTTTTTTTAACCTAAAATAATTATTCAGTGCCACAAGCACTTCGTGGGGTTTTTGACAACCAGCATCATTTAAAATCTACCCCCCAAACGATGGTAGTGATTGTTTCATGTTATAATTTCTCCTCACTGTTTACCATTTACATTTGTCCTTGGACTCTTCATCCTCTGCTGAGGCAACTTTGTTAATAGACCTCTTTTCTGAATGTCACTGAATGCATATTGCTGCCAATCACGGCCATGTTTAGGACTTACTTTTTTTCCCATCAGATGCCACTGCATATGCGTTCTGCCTGCAGTTGATGATGCAGCCACAGGGCAAGTGGGTCCAGCGTTTGGACAAGACAAACACTGGGGTTACAGTGGTGGCCAGAAGGGTAAGTAGAAAGCTGAGTGTCTCCAAGGGAAGGCTCTGAAACCCCACGACGTTCTGGACCGCCATGTGCATCTGCAAGGGCAAGAGAACTTTAGACCTAACCCAAAATCACATTATATACTTCCCAAGCCTTTTCCCCATGCACGCTGCCTCAGTTCCCTTTCCAGCTCCCTCTCCTGATTTGAGAGCTCGAGCTGGCGCCCTGTCCTTGGGGGTGGGCTCCTGGGAACGGCGGGACGCACCCCGCTAAGCCAGACAGCACAGGCTTGGGAGGGGTTTCTGCTTTTGAGTGCCGGGTCTGCGCCCGCTGCCTATTCAAGACTCCACCAGAAAGACACAGTCTACAACGTGGAGGACGCTAGCTGGGAAACAGGAGTCCGTGAAACCTGCATCTGGTTCTCAACATGGCCTTTGTCGCCTCCCTGGACCCTCACCTCTGCCCACGCGCTTGTCACAGCGGGGCGCCACTCTGCCATCTCTTATTTGGATTCGGCTTCCTCCTGGAGAGAGGAACAAAAGCCTGTTCTGTCGCCTCTCTTCTCCCTCCACAACTCATCTCGCCTCTCTCCCGCCCTGCTGAGGATGGGCGTCGTCCTCACTAGGCGGGAATGGAACGGGGAGAAAGGGATTTAATTCCCTCTCCTTTTCTGAATACTGTAAGATTTTGCTGTGTGAGTCAATATCCTTGGCCAACACCGATCTGCAAAACTAAGTAGCCTGCTACAGAAAGCGCTCCCCACGCCCCTGACTTTTGAAAGGAGAAGCATCTAGTAGTTAAGGCTTTACGGCCAGCTAGCCCTGCCTTCCTCTAAGTGCGTCTCTAAAATCCAGCGAGATACACTTGGAAGCGGACTTCGCTGTGCGTCTCTTGGTGACTCCCCAAACCAGCGACGCTGGTCCCAACACTCATTTACACTGTCTGGCACACACACTCGCGCTTTGTGAGCAACTGCACTTTTACCATCATGGGCAGCCAAAGGACGACTTTGGTAAGCGCTAGGATCAAAGCGAAGCGCTTCTGCGCTATGCTCACGGTGTAGCTCCTGGTGCCATAGGGAGTTCCCCGGTTCTCACGCCTGCAGCCTCCAGCCCCCGCGGCAGCTGGTGCACCCAGTCCGAACACCGGGTCCAAGGTCGGGGAGCATCCCCCAGAGCGCGGCAGACTCGGGGCCGGAGCATCCTCCGGGGACAGGGAAAGTACTCTCCTCATAGTAGGAGGGGTCCCAGGAGTGGAAACTCCACGGGAAATTTCCTGGTAGTTGGCGTGGAGTCTCGGCGGCTCCTCTGAACACAGCAACCGGTAAGTGAGGGGGACCGAGAGGCCCACGAGGACTCCGAAGGCCAAAGCGTACACGGTAGAAAGCAGCAGCACGTAGGAGCTGGAGCAGTCCACCAGGCAGCCCCAGGGCGTGCGCACGAAGGCGCCCCAGCCGCACAGCGGGAGCGCGGAGAGCAGCAGACTGGCTGTCCATACCGTCAGCACCACGCTGACCACCTGGCCCGATCTTCTGGAGGCTGCCTGGCTCCCCACATCCCTGTGCATCGTGTAAAAGTTGTAAGAGACTAGGAGAGTAGCCTTCAAGTTGCTAGAGAGGCCCTGGCATAAATACAATAAGGCAGAGGTGGTGCACAGAAATTGGAAGTAACCGGGGAACTCGTTTGGCCACTGCAAAAACATGAAGATGGTCACCGATAAGACGCTCATAAGATCATCCACAGACCAGGAAGCCACAAGCATGGACACAACGGTTCTGTTCTGCATTTTCAGCAGAGAAATTAGTGAATAAATGCTGCCCACCAAGGCTGCAAAAGTCAGGAGACATGTCAAGCAAAACAGATAGATATTCAGAGTTCCTGGAGGATTTAAAAGGTCCGTAGAATTATGATTCTCTTTCCAAAGGCTAGAGTCATTTGTTGATAAGTTACTGAGAAATAAAGACATTGTCCTTGGTCAATATTTAATTTCCCTTATCAACTAGTCTGATCATTTTCTCAAAAGAAAGACCGGCTGCTGGAAATCAGATTTCATTTCTCCTACCAAGTTCCCCTCTAGAGAGTCTCCTGGTCAGTCCTGCAGGAAATGGTCAGGCATGTCTCCTTTAGATCTGACTCAAGCTATATTTAAAAATTAGGTTCCATTTCAAGCATAAAAAAAAACTGAACAAACAACTTTTCAACATTCCAATTAAAAACAAAGCAAAAACTCCTTCCCACCATCAAGTTTCAGGCAAGAAAGCAAAAAAACTCTTCAGGTACATTGAAAACCAATGATGTCTGGATCCTTTAGGGTTCTTCTTACGGAGCAAAGTAGCTTGTAGCTTGAGATAATCAAACCCTGTTCACTTTTAAGAGCGGTAAAATGATGCATTTGATTCCAGAGCTGGCAGGAGATGGTCAGGTAGGTTTCAGCTTTGAAGGTGAAAAGGGGCGGAGCGGGGGACAGAGAGAGAGAGCGCGAGTGCGAGCCAGTCAGAGGGAGCTTGTGCACAGAATCCCGTCTGAACCGCTGTTCTTCAATCAGCCTGTGATCCTCGGAGCTGCAGGAAGGAGGAGTCAGCTCCAAGCAGGAAAAAAAGGGAGGGGAGTTCAGTGTTGAACAAAATGATATACGTATATCTTAGCCTGCCTCTTTCAAAGCAAGAAACTGTGTCCTTGCTAAGCTTCCGGTTTGGTTTAACATGTAAACCAGCCCAAATACTTGCTCAGGCTTGATGTGAACTACAAGTTTCACCTGTGAGAGGTCAAGCTACTCCAGTAACTCAGGGACTGCTTTTATTCATATCTAGACTTCCTGCTTCATAATCCATTGGAGGAAGAATATCATCAATGCCATGTATAAGACTAAGATATGTCATATTTCGTTTAAAAAATTAGTGTGCTTAAGATTGTCATTATAGTCCTCATTACTCTAAAAAGGATTATGCAGAATCTTTGGATAGAGTCACACTAGCTTTGGTTATTTATTTATAACTTTATTTTCTGTCAGTGGCATCAAGGAAGCAGGCTGTCATTTGAATAAATGATATGGCTAACTATCCATAAAGTTGGATGATATATAGAGCCTAAAAGGATCATCCCACAGCAAACGTTTTTAACCAGTGTATTTGAGACATACAATAGTTGTTTCTCTGAATGGTCAATTTTGCAAGATGAGTGATTTAGCAAAGAAGTAACTGACACAAGAGTACTTCTGGTTCAGCATTTCCCAGGATGCTTTAGGGTAGCATTCTCCTCAGCTCAGCCTCATGACCATATGGCTACATTCTCCCACATAGTGCTGGAGGTCTAAATGGAAATGGGAAGGAAAAGGAAAAAGTTGATATGAGAATGATTTAATAACTGGAAGTAGTAATAGCACTTCGATCATTCTTATCATTTATTTCAATGATAACTGAAGTATCATTTTGAACCTGAATCTGTTCAAGTAGAACATGATTACATTAGTCATTGCCAGCCACACCCTTCAATAAACACAGCAGGCATTTCACTTATCATTATATGTTGATTGTTTTATTTTCCCCCTCATTCATTCAGCAAATGGAAACAAAAACCACATGTAACCGCTAGTTCAGCTCTTTAGCTCTCCCTACTGAGAGTACAGACCATGCATGGCTATGTGAGTAAGAACGGTTGGGCATACATTCATTTTCAAATAATGTTGATTCAGAAAGTGTGATGAAAAACAAATCTTATTTTTGAACATTTCAAAGTTCTGTGAAAAGCCATTCTGCTGCTTCTCACAAACCTTATTCTTTCTTGCCATAACAAAAATATTATTCTTCAATATGGTATTGAGTCCTGAATTTTCAGTTAGGTTGAATAATAAGTCTCAGATTGTTAATATACAATAAATAGAAATTAATAATAGCTACTGTAGTACCATTTCATGTCTGAGAACATTTCCCCTATTATTAATATCATTTTTGGGTTTTCCATTAAATATAAATTTGGAAAAGGGATACTTAACCACCATGTTGTACTGTTCTCTGGGATATTACAGAAGAAGAAAGAATGTTTAGCACACTTCCAAAGGTTGGTAGTAGAACTGCAGCCAGGAGGGAGCTAGTAGAGATAACTGAATTTAACTCCAGACTGTGCTATTGCTGGATAGGTAACCTAGTACAAAAATTCTTGTACTTTCTCTGGGTGTCTGTTTCTGCTCTGTAAAATAAAGAGGGGTCTTAATCCATTTTGTGCTAAAACAGAATACCACAGACTGTGAAATTAATGAAGAAAAAAATTTCTCACAGTTCTGGAGGCTGGGAAATCCAATAGCAAGGTGTCAGCAAGGGTCTTCTTGCTGCATCACCCCAAGGTAGAAGGTAAAAGGAAAAGAGAGCATGAGAGAAAAAGATAGATAGATAGATAGATAGATAGATAGATAGATAGATAATAGATAGATAGATAGATAGATAGATTGCAAGAGGGGGATGAACTCACTTTTTCTTTCCTTTTTTTTTTTTTAAGAGCCAGGATCTCGCTCTTTCACCCAGGTTGGAGTGCAGTGGCACCATCTGGCTCACTAAACCTCCAATTCCTGGGCTCAAGTGATTCTCCTAACTCAGCTTCCCAAGTAGTTGGAACTACGGGTTCGAGATACCATGCCAAGTTATGTTTTATTTTATTTTATTTTATTTTTTGTTTTTTATTTTTGTATTTTTTAGAGGTGAGGTCTCACCTGGCCTCAAGTGATCCACCCACCTCAGCCTCCTAAGGTGTTGGGATTATAGGTGTGAGTCTCTGCACATGGTCTCACTTTTATAACAAGCCCACTTTGTAACTAACACACTTGTGAAGTAATGGCATTAATTCACTTATGAGAGCAGGACCCTCATGATCAAATCATCTATTTTTAGGATGCACTTTCCAAGGCTGTTGCACTTGTATTAAGTTTTAAACACATGAACTTTGTGGAACACATTCAAAGCATAGTGAGGTGTTAAACTAGATTATTTTTAGAGACTTTTCCAGTTCTAAAATTAAATAATACAATTTTTAGAAGTTCAAGTTAACCTCATTTCTATTTTCTTTTTCGCCTACTTCACAATAATCAACATTGTCTTCTAATAAGAGTTGGAAGCCAGCAAGAGCTAATACTTGGATTCTGCATGATTTTTCTTTCTCTGATAGCATGGAGGCTCTTGTCTATAGGACGTAGTATAAGATTCAAGCAATCTGAAATCTCTGAGCCAACTGAGAGATTATGGCTTGTCCTGGAGATCTGTGTGAACCTAAAGCAAGTTTCGTATGAATGAGAGGTAAATTATGTTGTGTCAATCACTGAATTTTGGGAGTTGATTGTTACTGGATAATATCCTAGCTCATCCCAATATTGTTAGAGATATTATTGCTCCCCTTTCATAGGTGAGAAAACAGATCCATGAGAGATTAATTGATTTTCCCAAAGGCACACATTTATTAAATGGTGGAGTCAGATTTTAAAATTGTAGTTGAGTTCTGCATTCTTAATCATAACAGATACATATTTTCTTTATTTTAATTAATTTATTTTTTTAATTGTACTTTAGGTTCTGGGGTACATATGCAGATCATACAGGATTGTTGCATAGGTACACACATGGCAATGTGGTTTGCTGCCTCCATTTCCCCATCACCTACATTTGGCATTTCTCCCCATGTTATCACTCCCTGACCTCCCCACCCCACAGCTGTCCCTTCCTTGGCCCCCTGCAACAGACCTCAGTGTGTGATGCTCCCCTCCCAGTGTCCCTGTGTTCTCATTGTTCACCACCCGCCTATGAGTAAGAACATGAGGTGTTTGATTTTCTGTTCTTGTGTCAGTTTTCTGAGAATGATAGTTTCCAGATTCATCCATTTCCCTACAAAGGACAGGATCACATTTTCCTTGTCTAGTCTATTGTCAATGGGCATTTGGGTTGCTTCCAGGTCTTTGCTATTGTAAATGGTGCCTCTATGAACATACATGTGCATGTGTCTTTATAAAAGAACGGTTTATAAACCTTTGGTCTCATGTATGTCTTCTTCTGAAAAGTGTCTCTTCATATTCTTTGCCCACTTTTGGTTGGGCTTGTTTTTTCTTATAAATCTGTTTTAGTTCTTTGTAGATTCTGGATATTGGCCCTTTGTCAGATGGGTAGATTGCGAAAACTTTTTCCCATTCTGTTGGTTGCCGGTTCACTCTAATGATTCTTCTGCTGAACAGAAGCTGTGTAGTTTAATTAGATCTCATTTGTCTATTTTGGCTTTTGTTGCCAATGCTTTTGGTGTTTTAGTCATGAATTCCTTGCTATGCCTATGTCCTGAATGGTTTTGCCTAGATTTTCTTCTAGGGTTTTTATGGTGTGAGGTCTTATGTTTAAGTCTTTAATCCATCTGGAGTTAATTTTAGTGTAAGGTGTCAGGAAGGGGTCCAGTTTCTGCTTTGTGCACATTGCTAGCCAGTTTTCCCAACACCATTTATTAAACAGGGAATCCTTTCCCCATTGCTTGTTTTTGTCAGGTTTGTCAAAGATCTGATGGTTGTAGATGTGTGGCATTGCCTCCAAAGCCTCTGTTCTTTTCCTTTGGTCTATATCTCTGTTTTGGTACCAGTACTGTGCTGATTTGATTACTGTAGCCTTGTAGTATAGTTTGGAGTCAGGTAGCATGATGCCTCTGGCTTTGTTATTTTTGCTTAGGATTGTCTTGGCTATGCAGGCTCTCTTTTGGTTACATATGAAGTTTAAGGTGATTTTTTTCCAGTTCTGTGAAGAAGGTCATTGATAGCTTGATGGGGATAACATTGAATCTATAAATTACTTTGGGCAGTATGGCTATTTTCATAATATCTATTCTTCCTAACCATGGGCATGGAATGTTTCTCCATCTGTCTGTGTCCTCTCTTATTTCATTGAGCAGTGGTTTGTATTTCCTCTTGAAGAGGTCCTTTACATCCTTTGTTAGTTGTATTCCTAGGTATTTTATTCTCTTTGTAGCAATTGTGAATGGGAATTTGCTCATGATTTGGCTCTTTGTTAGTCTGCTGTTGGTGTATAGAAGTGCTTATGATTTCTGCACATTGATTTTGTATCCTGAGACTTTGCTGAAGTTGCTTATAAGTTTAAGGAGATTTTGGGCTGTGATGATAGGGTCTTCTAAATATATAATCATGTTGTCTGCAAATAGAGACAGTTTGACTTCCTCATTTCCTAATTGAATACCCTTTATTTTTTTTTTTCCTTCCTAATTGCTTTGGCTAGAACTTCCAACACTGTATTGAATAGGACTGGTGAGAGAGGGCATTCTTGTCTAGTGCCAGATTTCAAAGGGAATGCTTGCAGTTTTTTCCCATTCAGTATGATATTGGCTGTAGGTTCATCATAAATAGCTTTTATTATTTTGAGATATGTTCCTTCAATACCTAGTTTATTGAGAGTTTTTAGCATAAAGAGTTGTTGAATTTCGTCGAAGGCCTTCTCTGCATCTATTGAGATAATTGTATGATTTTTGTCTTTGGTTCTGTTTATATGGAGGATTACGTTTATAGGCTTGCTTATATTGAACCAGCCTTGCATCCCCAGGATGAAGCCTGATTGAGATGGATAAGCTTTTTGATGTGCTGTTGTAGTCAGTTTGCCAGTATTTTATTGAAGATTTTTGCATTTATGTTCATCATGGATATTGGCCTGAAGTTTTCTTTTTTTGTTGAGTCTCTGCCAGGTTTTGGTATCAGAATGATATTGATCTCATAAAATGATTTGGGAAGGATTCCCTCTTTTTGTATTGTTTGGAATAGTTTTAGAAGGAATAGTATCAGCTCCTCTTTGTATGTATGGTAGAATTCAGCTGTGAACCCATCTGGACTTGGACTTTTTTTGGTTGGTAGGCTATTAATTGCTGCCTCAACTACAGCCCTTGTTATAGGTCTGTTCAAAGTTTCAAATTCTTCTTGGTTTAGGTTTGGGAGGGTGCAAGTGTCCAGGAATTTACCCATTTCTTCCAGGTTTACTGGTTTATGTGCATAGAGTTGTTTGTAATAATCTCTGATAGTAGTTTGTATTTCTGTGGAATTGGTGATGATATTCCATTTTCATTTTTATTGAATCTATTTGATTATTCTCCCTTTTCTTTTTTTTATTAATCTGGCTAGCAGACTGTCTATTTTGTATATCTTTTCAAAAAAACCAGCTCCTGGATTTATTGATTGTTTGAAGGTTTTTTTTTTTTTTGTCTCTATCTCCTTCAGTTCTGCTCTGATCTTAGTTATTTTTTGTCTTCTGCTAGCTTTTGAGTTTTTTTCTGATCTTGCTCCTCTAGCTCTTTCAATTTTGACAATAGCATGCTGATTTTAGATCTTTCCTCAATTCTCTGGTGGGCATTTATTGCTATGAATTTCCTTCTAGACACTGCTTTAAATGTGTCCCAGAGATTCTCCTATGTTGTGTCTTTGTTCTTGTTGGTTTCAAAGAAAGTCTTTATTTCTGCCATGATTTCATTGTTTATTCAGTCAACATTCAGGAGCAGGTTGTTGTTTCCATGAAGATGTGGAATTCTGAGTTGGTTTCTTAATTCTGAATTCTAATTTGATTACACTGTGGTCTGAGAGACAGTTTGTTATGATTTCTGTTCTTTTGCATTTGTTGAGGAGTGATTTAGTTCCAATGATGAGGTCAGTTTTGGAGTAGGTGCAATGCAGTGCTGAGAATAATGTATGTTCTGTGGATTTGGGCTGGAGATTTCTGTAGACATCCAGTAGGTTCACTTGGTCCAGATCTGAGTTCAAGTTTTGAATATTCTTACTAATTTTCTGTCTAATTGATCTGTCTAATATTGACAGTGGAGTGTTAAAGTCTCCCATTATTATTGTGTGGGAGTCTAAGTCTCTTTGTAGGTCGTTAAGAACTTGCTTTCTGTACCTGAGTGCTCCTGTATTGGGTGTGTGTATATTTTGGATGGTTAGCTCTTCTTGATGCATTGCTCCTTTTACCATTATGTAATGCCCTTCTCTTTTGATCTTTGTTGGTTTAAAGTCTATTTTATCAAATACTAGGATTGCAACTCCTGCTTTACTAGCCCTCCGTTTGCTTGGTAGGTCTTCCTCAATCCCTTTATTTTTAGCCTATGTGTGTTCTTGCACCTGAGATGGGCTTCCTGAATATAGTACACCGATGGGTCTTTCTTTTTATCCAATTTGCCCATCTGTGTCTTTTGATTGGGGCATTTAGCCCATTTACATTTAAGATTAATATTGTTATATGTGAATTTGATCCTGCCATTTTGATGCTAGCTGGATGTTTTCCCATTAGTTGATGCATTTTCTTCATTGTGTCGATGGTCTTCACTATTTGGTACATTTTAGGAGTGCTGGTACTGGTTTGTTCCTTTCCTTGCTTAGTGCTTCTTTCAGGACCTCGTGTAAGGCAGGCCTGATGGTGACGAAATCTCTCAGCAATTGCTTATCTGTTAAGGATTTTATTTCTCTTTCACGTATGAAGCTTAGTTTGGCTGGATATGAAATTCTGGGTTGAAAGTTCCTTTCTTTAAGGATGTTGAATATTGGCCCCCACTCTCTTCTGGCTTGGAGGGTTTCTGTGGAGAGATCCGTTGTGAGTCTGATGGGCTTCCCTTTGTGGGCAACCCGATCTTTCTGCGTGCCCATAGCATTTTTTCCTTCATTTCAACCCTGGTGAATCTGAAGATTATGTGCCTTGGGGTTGCTCTTCTTGAGGAATATCTTTGTGGTGTTCTCTGTATTTCCTGGACTTGAATGGTGGCCTGCCTTGCTAGGTTAGGGAAGTTCTGGATAATATCCTGAAGAGTGTTTTCCAGCTTGGATTCATTCTCTCGGTAACATTCAGGTCCATTTATCAAATGTAGATTAGGTCTTTTCACATAATCCCGTATTTCTTGGTGGTTTTGTTCATTTCTTTTCACTCTTTTTTCTCTAATCTTGCCTTCTGATTTTATTTCATTGAGTTGATCTTCAATCTCTGATATCCTTTCTTCTGCTTGTTCAATTCAGCTATGGAAACTTGTGTATGCTTTGTAAAATTCTCATGCTGTTTTTCAGCTCCAGCAGGTCGTTTATATTCTTCTCTAAGCTGTTTATTCTAGTTAGCATCTCATCTAACCTTTTTTCTAGGTTCCTAGTTTCTTTGCATTGCATTAGCCTGTGTTCTTTTAACTCTTAGAAGTTTGTTATTACTGACCTTCTGAAGCCTATTTCTGTCAATTCATCAGACTCAGTCTTCCACTATCTTTGATCCCTAGCTGGTGAGGAGTTGTGATCCCTTGGAGGAGGGGAGGTGTTCTGGTGTTTGGTGTTTTCATCCTTTTTTCTCTGGTTTCTTCCTATCTTAGTGGCTTTATCTACCTGTGGTCTTTGTAGATGGTAACTTTTGGATGGGGTCTCTGAATGGATGTCCTTTTTGTTGATGTTGAAGATTATTTCTTTCTGTTTCTTAGTTTTCCTTCTAACAGTCAGGCCCCTCTGCTGCAGGACTGCTGGATGTCCACTCCAGACTCTACTTGCCTGGAGATCACCCGTGGGGGCTGCAGAAAAGTAAGGGTTGCTGCCAGTTTCTTCTGTTATCTTTGTCCCAGAAGGGTACCAGCCTGATGTCGGCCTGAGCTCTCTTTTATGAGGTGTCACTTTGTGTATATGGGTGTCAGGGAGCTGCTTGAGGAGCCAGTCTATCCCTTATAGGAGCGCAAGTGCTGTGCTGGGAACTCCTTTGTTCCATGCAGGGCTGCTGGGCAGGTACCTTTAAGTCTACTGCAGCAGAACTCATAACCACCTCTTTTCCCGGGTGCAACAGATACATATTTTGTAGTAACTCCCTTTAAGCTCTTGGAAACACTTTCAATGAATGTTGATAATCATAAAGTTTTATATCTGCTTTCCCGTCTTGCAAAGAATGTTTGAAATTTCTCATTGTATAAAATTTTAATTTTCAGTATTTTACCAGCTTTTATGTTTTATAATGTATTTTATATATATCTATAGCATATATAAATATGTGTTTTATAATGCATTATATGCATTATATATATACATTATTATATATGAGTGATGAGTGTCTTGAAAATTGTAAACCCTCTCTTAGCCATAATTTTATTTTTTTTTAAATATCCTCCTGAGGGGGAAAAAACACTCCCAATGCCTTTTGAATAACCATAATAACTTTTAGGAGACCATGAAGAAAAATTTCGAAGAAGCTTCTTTGTGCCTTAAAAATTTTTACTCAGTTCCTGTCTGTGAATTTTTGTTTCTCTGCCTCGCCTATAATAGAACTTTATGTCTTCCATGATTGTAAATTCTGTCTTTAAATTTGTTAACGCAAATTTACATTAATTGAAATAAAAGTTATGGTTATGCCAGAACAGCTTAGGTGAAGACATTTATTTTTATTCCACTGCTTCTTTGGCTACTTTAAAACATGTACTATATTGTTTGACAGTTTGTAATGCCATATTACAAACTGTCAAACAACCTACAGAGTGCTAAATTACAGAAATTTTACAGAAATAAATTGCAAACAATTTAAACAACCTACAGAAAATTACATGGCAATAATTCCATTAGGCTTGTAGTTTATGCAGCCCTGATGTAATTGTATCTTTGCAAAGCACTACAGGCAACTTACTTCTCTAAAAGTTCGTACTATATCTGAAAGTTCTCAGAGCGTGATATCTGAAAATCCTCAAAGAATAGGAAATAGTGTAAAAAGTTATAGTTGAATATTATAAAATAGCATTCTTAGAAATGTGGGGTTTGACAATAAAAACGTTATGATGGGACCAAATGAAATGATTTAATTTTGTTTTATGAAAATAAATAAAACGTCACAGATAAAGTTAATCGTGAAAGTTTTTTTTCTTTTTTGTTTTAAAAATAGAGTGCTACACACCCAAAATATTTTAGATTACTGGTTTAGCATAAAATGCTTACAAGCTTATCAACAAATCTCAAGTGAAGGATCCATAAATTATTCAAGTACACACATAAAACATATAAATAAAATTTATCTTTTATAAATAAAAATACATGAGTACATAAATTTATAATGATAATTGTATATATATCTACATTATATAAAATACATGCATACTCTGCTCCAACTGTTTTTCCAAAAAATGAGTAGCAATTTAGCATCATAGGAGAACCTAAATGCTTGATTTATTTTACCTTTTTCAATGATACATTGAAAATTTATCCTTGATGAGTATTTGGGTTGGTTCCAAGTCTTTGCTATTGTAAACAGTACCACAATAAACATACATGTGCATGCATCTTTATAATAGAATGGTTTATAATCCTTTGGGTATATACCCAGTAATGGGATTGCTGGGTAAAGTGGTATTTTTATTTCTAGATCCTTGAGGAATTGCCACACTGTCTCCCACAATGGTTTCACGAATTTACACTCCCAACAGTATAAAATCATTCCCACTTCACATCCTCTCCAGTATCTTTTGTCTACAGATGTTTTAATGATCGCCCTTCTAACTGGTGTGAGATGATATTTCAGTGTGGTTTTGATTTGCATTTCTCTAATGACCAGTGATGATGAGCATTTTTTCACACATTTGTTGGCCACATAAATGTATTTGCCCACTTTTTGATGGGTTGTTTGTTTTTTTTCTTGTAAATTTGTTTTAGTTCTTTGTAGATTCTGGCTATTAGCCCATTGTCATATGGGTAGCTTGCAAAAATTTTTTCCTACTGGGGTCTGTTGTGGGTGGGGGTCTAGGGGAGGGATAGCAGGTGGTAGAAAGATTGGGGAGGGATAACATTAGGAGAAACACCTAATGTAGGTGACAGGGAGATGGAGGCAGTAAACCACCATGGCATATGTATACCTATGTAAAAATCATGCAAGTTCTGCCCATGTACCCCAGAACTTAAAGTATAATAATAATAGTAATAATAAAGGAACTTTATAATATATACTAATAAATATAAATAATAAATCATAAACAATGTATCATTAAAAACCTACAACAGCTTAACACTATGTAATTACTATGAGTAAGGACAAAATAATTTCACATGGCTCTAAGTTAAAGAGACTTTTTGGTGAACATAGTCTTTAGAAACATGATTAATATGCTGTCAGTTCAAAGACAGTAGTTGACATTTGTGGGGATTGTTTTAAAGGTCTCTCAAATGGGACATTACATAATTTTCTTTTTTTTACTGATTCCATGGATAAGACACAAAAATGTTAAAGATATGTATGCATATGTGTAAAAGCAGAACAACTTGAGAGAAAAAGTTACTCATTAGTGGGTGTTGTTTATTCGATTTTAATAATACTCATTCTGGACATGAATCTTGACCACAGTAGTTATGTAACTTCCACCTAGCCATATAATAGACATATCTGGAGGATAGATTTTATATAGAGCTGTGTGAAGATGTTAAATAGATTGGGAATGACTAAACCCATCCCATAGAATAAAAATGTAAGTAATATACAGCCATCCTAAATGTAATAATATACTATAAACATTCACTCATTCATTCATTTATTCAACATCTGTTTGAGTGTCTAGTGATCAATGTACATTAGTGGTAAACAGAACATTGTAGTTCCTGTCCTTGTGAATCTTGCAATGTAATCATTTTTCATCTATCACCTTCCTTAAATTCTTCTTTTTGAAAATAACCTCTCATTCCATGGGACTCAATACAATAAATGCTTAATGCTTGGGATGAGAATGTTCTGATGCAAAAACATTAAAGTTGACTAAACCTTAAATTATCAATATGGTAATGCAGGGGAAACCCTTGTACCTTATTGTGAGGTACACTTGAGTTGCAAGATTTCAAAGAAATTCTTTCAGTATCTCAGTGTTTCAAGAATAGAATATTACCCTGAGCTCATTGCTATCACTACAAATGATATGCAAGGGAGTTCTACTATTGATTTTTAGTTTCTTTTTTATAAGAGAGCTGGTAAAAACTGTTATGTAGTTATGAGAATAGTTTTCAGTTCTGATATAGCCCCTTTCTCTTCATCTTGCATAGTCTGCATCATGCTGATCCTTGATGATTATGTACCAACACCTACACCCTCATTAGTTCTGCCCAATATCAGGATATGTTGGGATATTGCTTCTTTTTAAATGATGCCTTTCTTAGCATTTTGAGAAATATTTCAGTCTCTACATCTACAATTGCTCAAAGTTTGCTTTAAGTACCAAAATTTAATCAATCATGTTCTCAAAGACAGTTGCTCTTTCCAATCCTTTACAAAATTAATGACATACATTGCCCTGGAAGTAACTTCTCTCTGTGCTAAGTGCTATAGTTTTGCTTTTTAACCTGAGCACTCTATGTACTCTTTAAGCATCATTATCTTGTCTTGGGGTGATATCTGGAGCAGGTAATGGAAAATATGTTTTATCTTATGTCTTGCAGCAAAAAAGTAATTGTGCGATTAAGGACTAAGCTTTCCTCACTAGGTTAAACAAGGACTTTGAAAGATTTCTTGGTTTATTTTAGGCATTGGCAAATTATGACTTGTTTTTGTAAATAAAGTTTTATCAGAACACAACCACATCTGTCCATTCATTTACTTTTTCTTAAATGGCTGCATTCAAGCTACAACAACAGGGTTGAATTCTGAATGGCTCTGAAAGCAGCTATGTGAACAAAAAGACAAAAATATTTACTATCTGGCCCTTTTCAAAAAACATTTAGTTGATTCTTGGTTTATATGAAAGAGGAACATTTTAATGTAAAATTATCTCTGACTGGTAGAATGTTTGGGTAATTTGTAGGATTCAGATATATCCAAACACCCTGTCTCTTCTAAAATACATAATAATATACTGTATTATATAATAAAATATATGATGTTTATACATAAATTATGTATAATTGTTAATAATAACATTAATGGCAACAATATCAACAGCTAATATTTTAGTTCTTATGTGCTAGACTTTCTTCTAAGTTATTTACATGTATTAAGTAATATACTTTCACAGTCTTATGAGTATTAGGTTTAGCCCCATTTTCCAGACAGAGGAACTGAGGCAGAGATTAAATAACCAACTGATAGCCACACTGCTGGTAGATGAAGGGGTTAGGATTGAATCTGATTATTCAGAGACAGAACCCTGCCCTATTCTCTAAATTTCTCGCCTTTGCAAACATACTATGAGCCTCAATAAATAAGAGTGATTGCTAGGGAAGAGAACTTCTTAAGGCAATACACATTTTACAGTTCCTAAATCAGCAGGTGGCATCCTGTTATTTCTTTTTATTTAGTATCACTGAGATCCAAGGTTTTACAAAAATTACCTCAATAGTTTCTAGTTTCCTAAGAAAAAGTTAAGTTTTATCCAAACTCTACACCTAAGATGTTAAAGCATGCAAGCAAAATCATTTGTTCAAGATGATACTGCAGTTTAGTTACAGGTATAAATTAAGTTGCTCTCCCTTATTTTCCTCATGCCTTGTCTACTCACAAGGATGGAAGTGTCCTAAGATGTGTAGTGAGAAATATCCCTGGTATTGGGTGTATTCAGGAGTACAGTGGTACAATCATGACTCATTGCAGCCTCGACCTCCCAAGCTCAAACCATCCTCCCACCTCTGTTTTTGATTTTTGTGTAGAGACAAGGTCTCATTATGTTGCCCAGGCTGGTCTTGAACTCCTCGGCTGAAGTGATCTGCCTGCCTTGGCTTCCAAAGTGCTGGGATTATAGGAATGAGCCACTATGCCCAATCTTTAGGTGCATTTGAAGCGAAACAGTTATTCATGAAAGATTTCTAAAATTTTAAATGAAAGAAAAACATGATAAGCACTTAAAAATAAGAGTTCTGAAAAGGTGAAAAGTGATGTAAATTATCTAGTTACTATAGTGGAGAAGTTGGAATCTGATAACCCAAATGTCTCTTCGTGGATTTCTTTGAATCCTTCAAAAATCACTTAATCTATTGTTGAATTCTACTATCTTTATAAACAATCATATGTATCTTGAAGAACTTTTAAAGCTCAGATGAAAAGCTTCATAAGAACTTCGAATAAATGATGATGAGTTTCTGGTGTTATTTTAATAATGAGTAGTTCTTTTTGAAGTGAAACACAGTACTGTAATAAGCTCTAGGTTCTCTGGTAGGTAGCAACAAGAAGAGAAACGGTTGTGGTTATGTCCATCTCTCCTTTCCTTCCATTTCTGATGCAGATCAGAATAACAATTAAATTCTCCATTTGATGCTCAGATTAATTAGCTTTTCAATGAAAAGAGAAGAAAGGGAAGAGAAGGTGATAGGGAAAGAGAGGGACAAATGGAGAGAGATAAGAGAAAAGATAAAAGGGAAGGAAGAAAGAGAATACATGGTAGACTTGGGCTTAGGTATTTGGACTTGAGGTGTTAGTATTTGGAGCTGAGCCAAAGCTGCTTTAAATTTTGACAGATTTTGTTATATGCCTATCACAAAGTTGTACTAATAATGGTAGCACCAACTTAAACATATTAAGAATGCCTATTTTTTCTACATCCTCACCAGAACTAAACATTGTGGAAGTTTTTTAAAAAATATTTTTTGTCAATATGCTAGGTTAAAAGTATTAATTTAGAGGATTCCGAGATGATGGCAGACTAAGAAGCACCAGGAATCTGTCTGCCCACATGTACAGCAACTGACTGGAAGAATCTGTCAAATTAAAGGCTTGCAACTTCCAGAGGAAGTCTTCGATGATAAATTGTGGTTCACATCAGTCAATTTGAGCTCTTAGCACAGTAGAAGCTACCCATATGCTCAGCTCTGTGGCAAGAAACTGTGTTCCTGGAGAAGCTTGTACACACAACCCTTGCAGAGGAGCCAGGGTTGACCAAAAAAGA